ATGACAACAAACTCATAATTAAGTCAAAGGTAATAGACTTTAACTTCATTATTATGAAGGGTTTCAATTCCCCAACATTTGTCTTTTCAAGGGCTAGATAAATTTCTAGCTTGGACAAATTGTTATTATGAAGACCTCATTAGAGTTTGCTACATAAATTTGAAATTGCATGACATCAATAATCTAGTAAGTGAGGTTTACAAAGATACATCAAGATAAAGCCTAATTATTGACTCAATGTAACTCATTTGAAATATTGAGGTCGTTGGATTGATCTTGCTAACATTCCTAAAGATTTGGGATATGATAAGGATGAGGGTTTTATTACAATGGTTAGAACAAAACTTAAAGTACATACATATAAGAATGTTGATAGATTGATCGTCAAAGACAAACTTTTATGTCACGTATATGTGAATATTTAGAGTCCTCAAGAGAGCAATTAGGCTCAGGTGTTGCATGATGACATTTTTATTATATGATACATAAAATATCATATTCCGATTAATTGACCTCACTATATTATGCAATATGAGAAAGTGCAAGATTAATGGTATGTTTCTGCCTTATATTCTTTTAATCAGTCATACTCTATTGCATTCAGGGTTTGACTTTACTTTAAATTAAGTGTGATCCTAGGGTGGTCACATGTTTAATGAGAGATCTCTAAAAAAGTTGAATGTGATAAACATTCACGATGTATGACAATATGTTAAGGATCACCATGTCTAACAACCTAATTAAGAAAGATAACTTTCGTAGAGATGTAAAGGTTCAACAATAACAATAAGGAATTCAAGGAGAGATAAGATAAACTTAATATAGAAAATATTCTGTGTATGCTACACCTTATAACTAGATTTGAAGTAATTGTTCAAATTAATTATAATTATAGTAATCTTTAAAGAGTTATTAAATAGATGCATTAAAAGATTGATTAAGTTGAAGATATACTTTATTATATTTACATTATTTACATGTATCTATTTTTATTTAAGTTTTTTTTTGCTATATTTATTTTTTATTTAAATTTTTTTTAATGGCTATATTTTTTTTGGATGATTGTGTTTTTTATATGATATTTTTATCTTTTTGTACTTTTCTAAATAATTTTTTTTATAATTTTAATAAGTTATTATAAAAGTAAAAAAAAATATCTGTAAAATATTACATGTCATTTTTATAATTTATATATAAATTAATTTTATTTTATATAATTTTTTATCTATTTTTTTAAATAATTGTTTTATATTAAATTATATCTTAATTTTAATTTTAATTTTAATTTATTCTAATTAAAATTAATTATAAAATATTTTATTATTCATCATTTCATCTTATTATTTAATTTTTTAATCAATCAAATCAATTTACTTTTTGTTAAAAAATTTCTCATTTTTTTTTCTCTCCATTCAAACATCTTTAACTTTTACTCCTTTTTCACTCCTTTTAATCAACTTCATTATCCAAAGAAAAGTAACTCTGTGTTTAATACCGACACTATTACTCAAAAGATTAAAAAAATATCTACCTCGTAAAACCTCAACCTTAATATATTCAATCTATATTCTACAGGACTTGAGAAACCTCCAGACAAATAAGATATTCTTCTGGACTAAACAAATGAAGACCAAAAGAGTCACGTATACAATCTCAGCCGCAAGAAGTATTATTTTAAACCCTTGATCCTGTGATGCTCCAAAAATTTCAGCTAGTGCCCATATTCTAAGTTGCATAATAGCAATTAATTACTTAATTAATGCAGTCATTTATATTCTTATAAGTTATAACTGGCACACGTATGTGAATTCGCATTAATTTGTTTATATTATTGACTACTTACCATCTGAATTGTTACTTCATGGATGTAGAATTTACACTTTACAAACAAACTAAACATAAACATGTAGATTCAAGAAAGAAGAAATACACTATAAATTAGGGATTTTGTTTAGTTTTCTCTTCAAATTTCATCCTAACCAAATTTAAATTTGATTTCGTTCGGTTTAATTTTTATTTTTAAAATAAATAAAACCAAATGAAATAAATATTTTATAGTCTAATTTAAGTGGTTTTTGCAATTTTTATTATAAAATTATTAAATATATTATAATAAAATAATTATTCAATAAGTAAATATATTATAAAAAATTATCTTGAATAATTAATTATAATATTTACAATCTTAATTTATTTCCACGTTAATTCAAACACAAAAATAATATACATCATAAATTTAAAAAAAATGATTAGTTCACTCAATAAATGTTATTTATGGTTTAATTTTAGTTGTATATATAATTTTAATAAGTTTGAATTGATTCTTGAAATAGAAAACAGCATCAACTTAATCAATTTAAACAATTTCAATAATAAAAAACATGATCAATGTCGATCTTTTTAATTAAATTTTAATTTTTTAATTAATTCAGTTTTCACCACGCCTACCAAAAATATATTCCACGATCTTTGAATCATTTTCAAATGATCACAACTCAAATCATATAATAAACAGTCTTTGTTATTCAAATAGAATTCTCTATATTAGCACATTTTTTTCACGTTTATATGATTACAACCACATTGTTGTATTACACTTCCTTGACAAACATCTAATGACTTTATTTATTATACCTTGAATGCAATTTTATTTTTTCTTAACCTGTCTCTCACTATATTTTAAAATTTGAAATAACGTGTCTTTTTTAAAATGATGAATAATACCAAGTAGCTTCCATTTTCCAAATGGTCCCATCTCAATTAGAATCTTTTAGTTGATAGAATGTTTTAAACATTTCATGTTCACACTTGCGAAGACAATATATATATTTACAATTTTTTTATCTTTTTTAATTTTGATAAAATATATTTTAACAGATATTTTTATAAATATAAATATATATATATATATTATAATTTTTTATTTATATTATAGTTTTTAATAATTTAAAATAGTTTACTTATTATAATTAAATATTATTTTAATATATTATTTTAACATAAAAAATTAATTGAAATTTACCTATTTATTTTAATAATATAAATATTTAATTTTTATATACATAAAATAATCAATACAAAGTTTTTATATTTAACAAAAGATTTAAAATATAATATTAATTAAAATTACTTAATATTTTAACTTAATTTTAAAAATATAACAGCCGTTAACTTTTCTTTACATATAGAAAATAAAATATTAAAAAAATACATATACAAAGTTTTTAGCTTATTATAAAAACATAAAAAACAAATTAATATGGACTAAGACAACGCTATATCGCTATATCGATATTATTGACAATTAATTTATTATATTTTTATAGTGATTTTAATATTTCAGAATAAATTTTTTATAAAAAATACATTTAGATATTTTAAATATTTAAATATAATATTTTCTTATCTAAAATTAAAATCGATACTCTAATTTTTGTTTCTTATCTAATTTTTTATAAACTATATGCATTAAAAATACATGTACGGCTTTTAAGAAAATCAAATAAAATCTTAATCGATCAACTTTGTGAAAAAATTACTTACTTTTAATCAAGAAGTTGATTTTTAAATATAAATAACAATCAAAAGATAGATACTTAGTTGATTTGTAGTTGCCGGCTATGCTTCTTCACACTTGCCTGACGGCAAGGAAAAAATTGATTGAGAATCCCACTAACAAATATCTATTCAATAACTTGATTTATTAATAATTAAATATCAATATATCAGCACTGGAAAATAGAGGTAGGAGTTCCCACTTCGGTAACTGGTAAGGTTTTTTGACTTTCAAACAAACTGTTGGGAAATTTCCTATACATTCGGAGTTGGTTATATTTACTTAAGTCAGAGTTTTTTTTTCTATTTTTCTTGTTAAATAATACTGTTTGTAAATATATATATATATATATATATATATATATATATATAAAGATATAGCATTTCACAGTTACACTAATTTGAGTTTAAAGGTGATTTTATGTTGTCTAGTGTGGTAGAAAATCTTAGGAAAATAAATACAACTCTACAAAGCTGCTATTAACCATTTAACAAGAGTTAAAACAAAAGATGTTAAAAATATATCTGACACAATCTATTTTTACTTAAGCCTTCTATGAGTATTTTAAAATTCACATATTATTTTAAATTTTCAAGTTATAGTTAACTGATATTATAGAGTAGGTTAAGTTTAGTTTTTAAAACATTTTATAGCTAAAACACTCTCAAAATATTTTCCTAATAAATGTGTTATAAATAAAATCTAAATGAACAAAAAAAAGCCTAAAGTTTAATATTATAATATAATAAATCAGTCCAACTGTGAATTGGATGAAGTATAATAAATTACGTGTGATGCATTTTGAAGACAAATTTGAGTAATACTTTATATGTCATCAAAATTCTATCTAATGTCATGAGCACATGTTAAAAACAAACTGTGTTAAAGTATCAGCTAAATATAATTAAAAATAAAAGCTTTATTTTAAAAAGAAAAATAAAAACACAGCACGAGTGTTCATGTAACTTGCCAAGGGACAATTCTCAAACTGTCTTAAGCAAGAAGGACAACTAATTCATTGCACACGTTCTCCTTCATCAATGGATGAGGCCTGATATATTGACAATCATTTTGAAAAAAAACAACTCAATTTTATTAATATAATAATTAGAAAAATATTTAATAAAAATAAAAAATAATTTAAAATTATTATGATAATATTAAAAGCAGTTTTCCTTAATGGAATTCACACATACATTTCTCCTATTCAAACACATTTCTCAATCATACACAATATCCTCCTCGTGTGACGCCACTTTCCTTTTCCCTTTCAGACGTACAAATCAAGATGATAAAAGAAACACATCACCACACCATCCACTTTTCAAAGCCCTTTCCTCTTCGATGTGTATTTTCACACGGACAAATCAAGATATATATAAGATGATAAAAGAAGCAGCTCATCTGATTCATGATCATGCAAAACCCTTAATTACCAATATTCATGGATGCTCTCTTCGCCCTTCCTCCTGCCCCGAGAGCTGATTTTCTCCGCTCTCTGCTCCAATCTTTTCGCTGCACTTACGTTTCTCTCTGGCAGTATGATTCCAATCTATCCAAGTATGATTCTCTCATTGCTAATTAATTAACAAAAATCATCACTACATACTATATTTTATTTCTCTTTTCTTTTCTACAGTCGTTTGTTCTTCTTCGATGGTTTCTACCATCTACCCCACAACCAACCAACCTCTTCTTTAAGGACTCAGTCTCAAACCCTTTTTCACCAATATCGGGCTTTAACGTTTGATGTCAATGATAAGTAAGACTAACTTCTCTCTTGTCTGATTTTGTTACCTAAATTAACATCACTCCATCGTTTGCATTTAAGATCGCTGTACTTCGTCATCGTCTTCATCTTTCTTTCTGATAATTCGTTTTTCTTTTCTTTTTATTTTAGCTGTGTTCCTGGACTCGCTTTCAGAAACCACATTCCCTACATAGAGCTCCAACTATTAGATCTTTTAAGCCTGACATCCACCGAAATACAAAAACAATTCTTTCAGGTAAATAACTTTAGAAGCAAAAAATTAAATAATCATTCAAGGAAACGATGGCTATAAAGTGTCTAATTTATTTTTTGTATTCACAGGAAGCAAGGATTGAGGTAGGCTCATGAAGCAAAAAAATGGAAATCTTCAATCATTTATTAATTGTTTCCTAAATTAGAATGAATAAGAAAAAAATAAGATTCAGTGGTTGCTCTTTTTCGCAGATTGTTGTACTCATGGGGTGCAGAAAAGGAGAAATTGAGCTAGGGTTCTCGAAAATGCTTCAAGTAACTAAACAAACTTCTCTCATGCATGCATGTTAATTAACTTTATAATTATATTTCTTCATATCAATGTTGTTTGAATTTGAGAGGAGAAAATATACATTAAGAGGCAGAACTATACTTATTAATCGTATGGCATGCAATTGAGCGTTTAATCTTCTTTATATGATGAAAATTAAATGCATGCACGTTAAATATTATCAGAATTAAACCCGTGATCCTACGTGTAACCAGAATTACTCAACAATTTCTTGAATTTGATAAGCATAATAACTTCGATCTGTCCTACAGACTGGTATTCAGGAAGCGCTTAAGAACTTTCTGGAAACCCTTGGTGTGGTTCCTACGCAAACTAGCCCACACCAACAAAGTATCCAAGCATTACCCAAACCAGAGGATGAAGAAGAAGAAATAGTAAGGACATTAATCCAAGTTATATCTTCAACTTCTCTGCCGAATCAACCCCACCAAAATTTTCCCAATCGTTCTTCAATGATGCCTCTAGGAGATACAATGAGATATAAACCAAATATTATAAACCCAAATATAACACCCCATATTCCATCGTTTAGAAACTTAAATTTGAGAGAACACAATCAAGCAACCCATCAAATTGGTTCCCAGAAGTATTATCACACGATATCGGAAAGAAGACGTCGGGAAAAACTCAGTGAGAGTTTTCAGGCACTCAGCGCACTTCTTCCTCCGGGAACAAAGGTATATATATCAAACTTCAATTCAAAAAGTAATGTCAAGGCTAACAAGTTGATTAAGTTTATATATGTCTTGTCTAAACTGTAGCATAATATTACTAATGACACGTTATGATAATTTTTAATTAAGTAAATTAATATACGTACTTAACACTTGGGTTTGAACTTTGGTGGTTTAGAAAAACAAAGGGTCGATTCTTTTAACAGCAAAGGAGACAATAAGATCTTTGATGGCTGAAAAGAAAAAGCTTATCATGAGAAATGAGCAGCTGATGAGAGTTTTATTAGGCAAAGAAGGTACTACTGGTAGTAGTGAAGAAAACAGAGGTAGGTCCTCTCACGAAATATTGAGTGTTGGGGTTTCGAATGTGTTGGAAGCAAGTTCATCAGAAGGGCGAATGGTGGACTTGCAAGTGATTGTGAGAGGAGAAAATTCTCAAGTTGTTGTTTTGATTCGCTTATTGGAATTCTTAGAACGGATTCAGAATGTAAGTTTGATTTCCACGAACACAAACACCCTTATTACAGGAGGGACAAAGATTAACGAATTAACTTTCAGGCTCAAGATTATTGAGGTACGTACCCCAAAAATTTCCATGAAGTAGCAAGTAACATTTTAAAACATTTTCATATTTAAATGAAGAGAAGAACACGATAAGGAATATGGTGTAAAGAAAGAGAAAAATACTACGGAAAAGTATTATTACGGTTAATTTTTTAAAATTTATATCATTTTTATAAAAATTATATAAGTTGTATTTGAAAGAAAGAATATATAATTTATTTATTTTTTTCGTATGAAAGTTGTGTTTTAAAGTATGATCTATTTTTTAAAATTATTAATATCATTATATTTTTAATAATAAATAATAACAAGAAAACAAAATAATAATAATATATAAATTTATTATTATTATTATTATATTATTATTATTATTATTAGGGTTTCGCATGACACGAAATAAGATTTACACGTAAAAAGTATAATTTCAACAAGAAAATAAACTAATCATGTAAAAGTTACCACTGTTCAATCATTGCAGGTCAATATTGATAACATACATATCCATATGATATAAATATTAACTAGATGTAATGATATCCTATCAATTAAAATTATTATTTGTTTTTAAAAAACTTGATTCAAAATAATCAATAATATTAAAAAAGTTAATATATGACCCCTCACATTAAAAAAATTATCATAATTCTAATTAATACTGAAATTTTATAATAATTTGTATATATTCAACTATCCTATCAAAACATTCTAACTCTGTATAAAAAACTAATATTAATGTTTAGTATATGATTAAAAGTGGTTCGTATTTATTAACATTTGTTTTGCTTGAGTGGCATAGGTTTATATAAGCATGACATTTAACCTTATAATATCTCTTATTAACAGATCTCAAAATTGTTAGATTTTGAAAAGAAGAGGTGTAAAATAGAATATCCTAGATATTTCCCATTTAACAAAATGCATAATTTGAGTATACTTTTTAACTTTCCTAAAAAATATTTTTTAATTTTATTTATTTTCTCTATTGATATAAATATATATATAATCAAATTCACTTTGTGAACTACAACATATTGTGAAGAATAATGGTGTGTACATATACACGTGTGTTTTCAGGACAGTGAATGGGACGAGGGTTGCTTCGAGGAAGCAGTTAGAAGAAGGTTGCTGGCGTAATAAGATGTCAACTCCAGCAATAAATCGACGTCACCAATGCTTGATTGATTGTCAATTGAAGAAGCTCAAAGCCATAAAATTAAATAAAAATACAATGTTTTTCGTTTGTGGCTTATTTTTCTCCTTTCCAACCTACACAAACTCCTGAAAATATAAAAAGAAGTCTCGTAGTAATGTATTGACTAGACTATGAAATTTTAATAACAATATTTTATATTTTTTAAATTTTAAGTTTCTACTTTTAGTAAAATTAAAGTTAAGCGTGGATTTTTTTTTAATTCTAAGTCAAATTTTATTGTTAGAACTTTTTTATAAGGAGGGGCTAATTGTAGTTGATTATATAAAGTCTACAATTGTGAATTGTCACTTAAATAATTCATCAACTACAAAATTTATCTGCTCATAACAAAACTTCCGTACAAATTTATGTTAACAAAATTATGTGTATTCAAGATCTAATTTTAATTTTAATATAAAGTAATTTTTTTGCATATTATATTTTATATTAATAAAATATTTTATTATAATTTAATATGTTTTATTATAACAGAGATTATCATAATAAAAAATAAATATTTCATAATTATAATCTAAATTGTTTTTTATAATAAGATTATTATAGATACCATATTAATATTCCAAAAAATTAATATATGTGATAGATTATCAAATAAAGTTAAGTGTCATGCTTAAATCTATGCAACTCAAATAAAACAAATATTAATAAATAGGAACTAGTTAGTAAATTATATTTATTTAATATTAATTAATCATAATAAATTAATTAGATAATTAATTGTATATTATTGTCGTAATATGTATTAATATTGAGAATATTTTTTTATATAAATAATATCATAAATTTAGGACAACTCAGAGTCTAAATTGAGTTTAAGTGAATGGGTTGATTAAATCTTATTTATAAATTTAATAAAACTTTCTTCAATAAATCAATTATTTTTATTTGTATTGTGGGTAAACCTAGTCGATTCAATGACTACAGATTCTTTTTTATTACAATTTTTTTTATAATTATGCAATAATTTGTAATGTATTATTAAAATTGACGTGAATAATTTATAACAATAAATCATATATGCTCGATTTTATGAGTAAGATGTGTTTAATTTAGAATTATGTCATAATATGCTCAATTTAGATATTAAGTGTTATGACCTTATGACATTATTAAATGATATTCTAGAATAATCGTATAGTTTTAATGAATATATCTCAAATAAAAACTAATTCAATGTGACATATAACTAGGATGAATATAACTTAGATCAAACTTAGTTTGATTTCAAATGTATATTGACGTGATGTGATACTTACCTCCAAAAATGATATTTTGTGATAGTTATGTTTTAGTAATAATGTGTTATAATGACTTTGTCTAACATGTTAATTACCATGAATTAGTACGATGAAAGCTATGATGAAAGTATAGAGTTTGATTATTTCTATGGAAGCTTAAAACTTGGTCATCTCTATAGAAGAGCTATGCTCGAGTATGTTCATGAATTTACCTTTTTTATATAATTATTGACATTATTTGAAAATCATTTTTTTGAATAATTATTCTAGCTTATATGTCATATTCTTGAAAGAGTTAATTATATGAATCATATATGAATTTACCTTTCTAGTTTGATTATTGACACACATCCATATTTGAAGATCATTGTCTTTGTACTTAATGGACTCCTCTTACTTTTTTGTGAGATAGTTTTGCAAGAAATATTTTTCCACAATATTTATATCATATAAAAAAAATAATAAATAAATATTTATATCATATTTCATCAAAGAAGGTAATATTGAAATTATATCAATATTCAAATCATAAGGCTTAATCAATTATGATTTATTTTAAATCACAACATTTACATCAGTTAATTTTGGTAATAAATAATATATAAAAATACAAATATTTTTGAATTTTGTAATATCTAATACATTTGGCATATAAATTTATGATGAAAAATTTAATAATATAATCATTGAAAATATTGTATATCATAAATAATGAATATTTTTTCTTAATAAATATATTTTTACATATGAAATGAAATAATAATAATCAAGAATAAATGACATTTATCTCATATTTTCATTTAAATTCAGATTGTGTGTATCAATATAATAATGAAAAATGAGAAATATGTATATTACACATAATGTGTCTCATATTTATGACTATTTTAAAAAATTATCTCAACTAAAATATATGAGTATTTTAAAAAATGTATCTCGACTAAAATATTTGCATGATGATTTAAAAAATATTTATGATATAATGTTTTATATAACATTATGAAACAACCTAATAATATGAATTATAATATAATATATATTTTTTAAATCACAAAATTTATATAAGTGATTAAATAAAAAAAGGAAATTTTCTCGAGAACTTTTATAAAAAAAAGTTTCATTACTTTTTTAAGTTTATAGACATCACAAATATCATGTTTTTTTTTTTTAGATTTTAACTTAAAATCAATTTATATTAGAAGAATTGACCATAATAATAAATGAAACCTATCAAAGGATTGTATTTTAAAGTATATTAGGGTTACAACAGTGTAATTTTATTTACAACCATTTAACAAATTTAGACTATTACCATTATGATAAAAAAAAATTGGGTTTTTTCATTTAGGCCAATATACATGCCCTACATATATCATATAAATAAATAAATAAATATATATATATATATATATATATATATATATATATATATATATAATCTTTTTAAGTACTTTTGATATTATAATAAACTTTTATCTTATTTATATTTCTCCTTTTAAGTTATACACTTAAACTTGGTATGACTCACAAATTATTTTGTATAACATTAAGTTTTCTCTCATAGTATCTAATCAAATTATTTTGTATGGATGTCTTTAAAAAGACAATAATTTATCAAAAGAATTACTACATAAAATAAAATTATTTATTTATTTATTTTGTAAAATTATTAAAGTTTAAAGAAAAAACAACTAAAATAAAATCAAATAAGATTTGTATATTTTTTTGCCAATAATATGAATTTTATTAGAAATACATTTGTGTGTAGATAATTT